GAATTGTCCTAAATCAGTTCGGAGAGTACCATAACAAAGCAACGTTTATATTGTGTGGGTGTAGTTTTGTTCATTATGAGTGTGTTCATGATACACATACAACTACCGTGCTTTCAACTTGAGGGCCTAACTTTAGAATTGGAAAGTTTAGTTTAAAAAAAAGTGTATTATTATATAAAATTTATGTTACATATATATGAATGCATAACTTAATAAGTTAAATTTTGTATCAATGTTCATCAGAGTTTGTAATAGGGATGTTAAAGTTAAAGTTAACTTAATAAGTGATTTTTTTTTTCAAAAAATAAATTATTCTAGTGATATCCATTGAGTTTCACCATTAAACCTACAAATCTTACAGAAATGATTAAACAACTAATTAAATTAATACTAAAAAAATGTTAATGATACTCATCTTGGTTCATGAGTAAACATGCTCTAATGTTACTGCTACTACTAAACCTAGCCTCCTCCGTGCATGGTGGTGAGACTCCATATCAATGATTTTCTTCCTTTTCTTCTTCCTTCACTATATTATGTAATTAATCTATAAACTGAAACTATTCCTCTTAATATCATATGTTAATATGGTTTGGTTGCAGGATGAACAAGAACCTACGATTCGATGTTGCCATGAGCAGTATCATTATGATCCTCAAACATTGAAGCGATCTTTTATATTATAACACAGAAGATTACCTTTTACATAGATGAATTAGAGTCTTTCCCGTTAGGGGTTTTGATAATTTTCGTTGGATTATATATCCTTTCCGGCCTAATGAGTTGCTTGTTTTGGGTTTCGGCAGTTACGAATGTGAAATCCTGTGAAGATGCCTACGTCTCTGGATTCATCAGTCACATCTCTGGCTTGATTGTTTTGCTACAGCTCATCTATCAAATTTCTCCTCAACTGGCTCTATTAGCGGGTATTAACATCGGACTACTCTGTTTGCTATGGTTTGTAGCCGTCATGAGCTATGGTTTGTAGCCGTCATGATTGCACAATGTCTATGGTGTGGAGTGCAAGAACTACTAGGTTGGTGTGAGTTTGTGAATCAACCAGGGGGGGGGGGGGGTTATGCAATTAAAAAATCTTATTGAATTTTTTTTGAAATTCAATCGAAAGCATAGGAGTTTAACTTTCTTGGGTTTTTTTTTCTATTAGTTTTTTTTAGTTAAGAATTGTAAAAATCAATTCGCAGAGAGTACCATAACAAAGCAACATTTATATGCCTTTGTGGGTATAGTTTTGTTCATTATATTTATGTGTGTCAGTGTGTGTTACAAACTTACAATTGACGTGTATTAGGTTATCTTCATGAATCAAATTTGAGAAGTCGAAGAACGTTGTTTTCTTATACCCTCTCTTGCATGCAAAGTTGAATAACAAATAATCGACTTGACAAAAGAAATATGCAACCAACAAGATTCCCAATGTTTTCAATAATGGTAAGTGCAAAATTAAAGACAACAAAATATTTCTCTAACTCTCGAAAATAAGAAGAAATATGTATGTTCGACAGTTGCTTATCGAGCTTACCATAAGCAAAGTAAACAAGAAATCATTCCATGCTTCCATAAACCAAGTTGAAGTAATGGTTTCTGCATTTGCTAATCTCTCTCTGAGCTAAAACATTAGAAATGCTTTTTTACTTTGCCTCTGAGTATCTGCTAATTAATTGAGTTCTTTTCTTTTATTCTCTTCCAACAATTGTACGGAGCAATCTATAATACGTAGTCTTCAATCTTTAATATAATAAAAAATATATTTCTCCTGATAATAATTCTAATTACGAAGAATATAAAGATTTTGTCGTTGAAACAATATGCAAATTTTCTTTTTTGATTAATCCCACTTAGGTTTGGATAAGGTCTAAAAAAAACTTATTCAAGCTTTGATTGGGAGTTTGGGACTTACTTGACTATATATATAGTGGCATAACAAAGGATCTACGCATCGCTAGAGAGCTTTCTTCTACATCATAACAAAGGATCTACATCATCGCTAGAGAACAAACAACTAATCAATAATAATAGAAGAAACCATGACAAATACTAATGTTGCTCCTACTAACCCTAGCCTCCTCCGTGCATGGTGGTAAGACTCCATATCAATGGTTCTTCTTTTCTTCAATTACTATATTATGTAATTGATTCTATGAAACTGAAACCAACCCTCTTATAATGGTTTTGGTTGCAGGATGAACAAGAAACTACGATTCGATGTTGCGATGAGTAGCATCATTATGATCCTCAACATTGAAGCGATCTTTTATATGAGAACACACAATATTCCCTATGGCTATGACAAACAAGGTTCAGCACTTTTGACGTGTTTTATTACAACCTACATCGTTTTCGGCCTAAAAAGTTTCATATATTGGGTTTCGGGAATTACGCATGTGAGATTATGTAAAGATGCCTACGTCTTTGGACTCATCAGTCATATCTCCGGCTGGGGTGTTTTCCTACGCCTCCTCTATGATATTTCTCCGCAATTGGCTCTATTCGTGGGTCTAAACTTCGGATTACCTTGTTTGCTATGGTTAGTAGCCGTCATGATTGTGCCGTGTCTATGGTCTGGAGTGCAAGCAGTACGAGGTTGGTGGAAGTTTGTGAATCAACCAGAGAGGGTTATTGGATAAAATTTTCTAATTGAATTTTGAAC